CAAAACGGCAGTACTGTTAACGGGTAAGTTCTTTTTGTTTAGTAATGATAAGAACTGTTAACTTCATAATTTAATACATCATTTTAATCATAGTACTGATAAACCTGAAAATAGAAAGAGCATTGACAGAGAGTTAGCGGAAACTAGGAGAAAACTTTATGAGACTCAGCTCAAACTTACTCAAGCAGAAAAAGGAGATGAAATCAAGTCTGATTGTACGTATTGCGCATATATTTATCATAATTCATTAGTAGCTTAAATGAGTTCAAATAAAAAGAAAATTGCAACATATGTTTATTTTATTTTGTTTATAATATAGCAACTCTGGAAGCTAGAATTAAAGAATTAGAGGCAGAAAGGGAAGAATTGAAGAATCGTAATGAGTAAGATTGAAATAATCGTATTAATGCATTCTTTTTTTTAGTATATTAACAATTTAATAAAATTTAGGGAATTGAATTCCTTCATTCGAAATTTGGAAGGCATGAGTGAGGATGATCTTAAGAGTCAAAATGTTCAATTACATCAACAAATCGCGGAAAAAACAAAGAAGATTGAAGCTTCCAAACAGCTCATTAAAGGACAGCATGAAATAATTGACAATTATAAGAGTCGTGAAGCCGCAATTGAGGCTGAGAGGAAAGCTTACGCCGAAGAAATCTCCCGTCTGAAGGTTTGAACCGCTTTTATTCACTTTATAATTAGAATTTCATAACTGCTTAACCATTATCATTCTCGATATATAGCAATCTAATGAAGAGGTAAGACAGCGTGCCGCTAAAGAGATGAGTTTGATCACAAGTGCTTGGTTCGGTATGGGCCGACGTATTCAAGGTGATCATGTGTTCTTGCAACGACGAGGACCCACATCATTTCTTAATCAACAACGCATGGCTCTTGATACGCAGGTGAGTACTTAAAATTACGTGAATACTATTAATGACAATTATTAATCATTTATATGTTGTTTTCACAAAATAGCTGAAGCGGCGGTGACTAGATGTTCTTGAATTGTTGGAACTTATTGCAAAAGCTCATTAAGGATAAGCAGTCACAATGACTTGCTACATTGACATTCTGAGCAAACAATTCCTTATATACGGTGACTGTCATTTTACATGTTTGTCATTATTCTTCCCTTTTCGCCCGAGTCTTTTGCCATTGTAACTTAAAATAGAATGTTCCAGCTTTTCAATTATCACGGATGTTAATACTTTACCCTCAAATTTTTTTATTAATTTTTTTTTTTCTTTATTTTGTTGATGGTTTTTTTTTATGTATAAACTTTATTCGGCTTAAGAATTTATTTTATATACACATATATATATTCGTTGTATACAGAAACAGAACAAATGTTAATATTTGTGCGTATTATAAACATATAAATAGGACAAATATATAATAAGACAAAATTGTTTTCAAAATGAATGGTGAAATTTTTCAAAATCGATTTTTAGTTTAATAACAAAATAGTTCATGAGTGGGGAGAGTATAATAAATACCGGTAGTTATTGGATGTGTAGCATCCAATAACAGTTTTATTTGGCAGGAGAAATGAGAATACCGTGATCCTTCGGATGACAAATAAAAGAAGTATCTGGCTTTGAATTTAATGTGCTAACCTTGGCCCCGAAGAGGCTCAGGTTGTCAAGCTCATTAAATTCAAAGCCAGATACGCTGTTATTGGATGCGAAACATCCAATAACGGATTTATTTTTCTTTTTCTGTTATAACGTGAGTTTGTGTATTTAGCGTATAACAACTGTTATACGACCCACATTCACTATGAAAAAGAAAAAATAAAAAAAAAAATTATTAAAAATATAATAATTCTATTGGCCGTAAAAAAATATATATATAAAATATATGAGCGGTGGTCCAGGAAAATACAATTGATCATTAAAATGATTAATAAATATATACTATAGTACAATATTATAAAAATGAGAATTCTTTAATTTCCAGATTGACGTTTTCCTAGACCACCTCTCATATAAAAAGCTAACTAGCATTAGGGTATAAGATTAAATTATGGAAGTAGTTACATTATTGATTATATAGGATATTACAGATAATAATGCATAAAATACTATATACTTTATTTTGTTATGACTTTGCAGAACCATAGGTCCGTGATAATATTGACATTATTTTAGTTAATATGTAATACAGTCAGGCCTCCCTAAATGTATACTCTCAACTCATAACTCCCTTAAATGCAATACCTTTTTAAATACAAGATTTTCTGGCTGCCTATTTATTCTGACTGTACCGTGAAAACATTTATTATTTATTATTTCTTATTTATAATTTAGACTTTAGCGAAACAACAGGCCATATGTAGTATCATATAAGGTAAGTATGGGTATTGTGGCGGAGTTAAGAGAAATTTTAGTATATCTCGGGATCCATTGGTCCATATTGAATGATTTTGGTACCATTCGATTCATCTAGATGAGACGAATCGAATGGTACCGAAATCGTTCAATTTGGATCACAGGATCATGAGTTATTTACAATCGTATGTTACACGAAATTGGAAGGGTTCAGCAACTAAACGACAAAGAAAAAATTTAAAGTTTGTAAACTCACGTTTTTGGTATTAAAAAATCTGTATCCTGTTACAAATTTATTTCATCAAAGAAACCCACAGAAGATATGGTTCCAGCAACAATTCCCTTCTTTCTACAAGAAGAATGTATTCAATTCATATCAAATTTTTTAACACAGAACATGCGGAGGTTACCATATTGGTTATCACACACTAGGGAATGGAAAGAAAATGAGGATCAGCTTAAAGAAGTTGCATTAAAAATTTTGGAAACATTGGGAATTATTTGGCATAACCCAGCATTTCGTCCGAATTTGTTGGGTCACTAAGTGAAGGGATCTATGTGAGCAATGTAATTGTTCTATTAATTCGTGTCATCTTATTTGATAATCCTTTCGGAGAGTCTGTATTTATTAGCACGTAAGTTATTTATAAAATTAAATAATACAAAGATGTTTTTATGATAGTGGTGGTTTATTTATTTTTTTAGTTCTGAACGTCAAAGCATTGCAAGTGCAGACAAAAAAGAAGACGAGAAAACAGGAAGACGACTCAACATTATGTTCGTCTGTATGGAAGATGGTAAATTTTACGAACTGATGTACTCAGAATGTTCTAGAATTACTTGCACTAAGAAAAAAGATGACGACATTAAATTATAGCGTGAATCAAATGATGGAATGTATATTTTTAGAACTTTACAACCTTTTATACGTAGCTTTATTTTAATTATTTATTTGTTAATTTGATTTATTAATAAAGACAGATTTATTTATAAATCTTATTATAGTAAAAGTTTACTATAATAGGTTTCTTTTAATATAACAAATTAAAATTTTTTAAATTTATATTATTGAATTTATAACATATAGATTTTGTATACTTAATAATTCAATATTATTTAAACAATTTAATTCATGTTTATAGTAGGCTTAGCTAATAGAAACAAGTTTGAAATAAAAAAAAAAAAACTTTTTTAAATTTTAAATTTAAACTATAAATTTGAATTTAAAATATAAATTTTAATATATCAATTCTGATAGCTATTATAAATGTATATCTGGCTAAGCTTAATAAAAAAACAGTATTTAAACTTAATTATATATATATATATAATTTTATTAATTATTCTATGAAGCAAATAGTTTAAATATATCTGTAATTAAAAAATATAATCGATACAAGGCTTGCTACAATATGAATTAAACTATTAACTAGTAACTTATTGTAGGCAATAATTGAAAAAAAGGCAATTGAAATAACCTTACAAAGAAGATATAATATTACTATAGCAAAAGCTCTACTAACATAACCAATTAGACTAAAATTGCTAGTGACATTTTTCAGAACTATTTATGCCTGTGACTTGCCTATTTGAGGTGTCGTCTAAAGCATTTTAGGTAACGTTCCTACAAAAAATTGTTCATCTCCAGTAATTTTGACCAATTAAAATTTAAGATCAGGTGTCAAAACAAATGTGTTTTGTTTTCTAAGTAAAAAAGTTACGTGTAAAATGAAAACCAAGAAAACTGTATTATAGTTAGGGTTAGGATTAGAATGATACAGTGCCTATTAGTAAAATATCATGAGAAACATTTTTAATTAGGCCGCAGAAGGTGGTTTCCTAATTAAAATTTAGATTTAGTCTTGGTTTTTTTTACACCTGATCCTGAAATTCGGTTGGTCAAAATTACAGAGGGTGACCAATTTTTTGTAGTCTAAAGCGAAGGTAAATCATGTGACTATTATTAGAATTTTGATGATCGTCGGTGAAGCAATACAAAAAAGAAAAATGAAACCCTAAAAAAATACAAAACGGCAGTCTAAACTTATCTTGGGTAGGTTAAACAAAAATGTCAAAAAAGCAATTTTGCATATATATCACTATCTAAAACCTGACCTAACTCTAATATAAGATGACCCTAACCCTAAAGCTAATTCAATAAATATTAATTATCTCCACTTTAGATGTCCTCTATTTGAGTAATAGCTGTAATAGAAAAATTGTACTTTAAAAAAAGGATCATGCACGCAAAAATAAACTGATTATGTATGCAAAATTAGTCACTCGGAGCAGTTTTTATTAATACTCAAAGTCCAGAGATGAAATTAATGATTATATATAAGAAATGATGATAGGAATGGTTATATATAAGGAATAATAAGAGCAGAAATGAAATTAATAGTTATATAAAAGATTAACAAGAGTAGATATGTTATGGTGTACAAGGTCATGATAAAAGGCAAAATCATATCATCTATTTTGAAGGATGCCTATTACGAGATTAATGATTTGGGGTCACCAATTTGACAGAATATCTAGATTTTCTTAATTCACCTATAGCTAGGGTTGTTAATGGGTTGGGTTGGGTTGGTTTGGGTTGACCCAATCATCAACCCACTCCACTAAATTAGACTTACTCCAATGCTTTGCTCCAGGTTGCTCCATAGTACTCTGGGTTGCTCCAGGTTGCTCCAAATTTAAAGGCATAATTTTAAACCCACTCCAACTTGGGCTAGGTTCTACTCCGGAGTGCTCCGGAGTAAGCTACTTCATTAACAACCCTACCTATAGCAAATTCAATAAAATTAAGTTCGGGGGCAATCAGGATACCGATCATATCTGAATTTTCTTGACATACCACACCTTTTATTTCACAAATGACGGAGGGTCTATATTACTTTCAGTTAGCATAATTCTTCGAATCAAACATAAACTAATGTTAAAACCTACCTATCAGATTATCTCAATTCTTGCATTGGAACAAGATCATAACTTCTCTTATTTCACTAATTATATCTATCCCTCAGTTGTTACGCCCTCTATCAATAAATAAATGTGAGTAAATGTGTCATCGTCATTAACAATTAAAGATCGCATGCCAGAATAGTCTACAATAATGTGCTTTCAGTAATTAGCGTGTATCCTATTCACCACAATCCTGGGTGCCAGACCTAGCCTCTCTATATTATATAGGGTAGCTTTCAAATATGAATAAAAGAACGTTCACCATAATATGACGGTGGCCACGATACACTTTCAATTTTATTCGATTTTACACCTAGTGGCAGTGTACCTTCAGATACACGATAACTCGACAAATACCCAATGAAAATAAAAACTCACCCTATATATTTAACATTAACTCCAAGACTTTTTAGTAATTCAACAACATCTACTTCAAATATTCTTTTCTTAATTTAGAAAGAGTGCTTAATGACGACGGCAACTACTTCAGTTTCAGGTATTGTTTTGAAATCTCCAAGATGCCAAGATTATATCATATTTTTACATGTCTTTTATATTAAAATGTTATTATCTCCTTTTTACTAGCAACATTTTCAATTTTCCCTTTAAGAGAAAGTGCTTAAATTCATAAAAAAATTGTTATTTAAATATTATGCTGAAAAACCATTTTGGAATTTTTAGAATGTGTTGAAACCTATTTGTATCTATTTCTAGTCGTATATAAAACCTGCTTATTTAACAACCAGAATTCACCACAGCCTCATGATACATATATATACTGTATTACATTAACATTTGTCTATCACTCATGCTATTTAAATATTTTGAGACTAAGATAATAACCACATGACAATGTATTAGATATATGGGTAGGGATGGCAAATGATTTAAATTATAATATTTTAAATCAGTTTTATATTGCTTTAAATTGATTTATTTTATGATTTAAAACATCATCACTTTAATTATTGCCATATGAGTTAATTAATATCAGCAGATTGATGTGAATATAACAATTAAATAATGTAATTGAAAAT